ATACGCCTCCCGAGCATCCGCCCTCTATGGGACACTGGAGCTGCGCTGGCGCGGGCGGGGAACACAAGACAAGCACTCCACCCATCGTGACCCCAGCATCTGCTTCTCTCTCCAGATCCCGGGTCTGGGCTCCTGTGGGCAGCGGGCGCCGAACTCACCCATCTTTGACCCTTCTCTCCCTGCCCAACTCTTCCTTCTTGGGTCCCTTAGGCATGGGGCACAGAGCGGATACCACACCCATCGTGACTCTAGCATCCTCTGCCTCCTCCTGCCCACCTCTCTTTTCTAGCTAGGGTCCCATGGACAGGGAGCGCAGAGCAGGTATCACCCCATCATGTCGCCAGCATCCATTGCTCCTTGCAGACCTCCTCTCCTGTGGGCAGGGAACACCAGGAGGACAACCCTTCGAACCTGAAGTACCCATACCCACCCTTCCTGAGCCGCCCTGCCTGCCTAGGCTGTCCGGGCTGGTCAACGTCAGCTGCTCCTGGTTCTTCCAAGTACAGAAGCTAGAAATTCAGACCCAGCAGTGACCTCAGCTCACCACCTCTCCAGGCCGTTTCGCAGCTTGCCTGTCGCCAGGAGGCTCTTGTTTTCCGGACCTGCGTTCTTGCACAACTCGATAAAGCAGGAAGCGGAGCTGGAGAGAGCCTAGCTAGCCTCTGCCAGGTGCCTGATCCTAGAAGGGTGGCGCTGTGGAGACCGGGAACATCACACTGTGAGCCATGGTGATGTGAAAAGGCCTCCGAGTGTCTGCATAGTATAGAAGGGCCTTCTGGGCAGTTGAACTTGCTGAGCTTAAACTTTTATTTTGTGATTGTAAAGGGAGGCAAATCATTAAACAACTACTAAAGGAAGACAACAACCATCAACGTGCTACCTGGTTAGTGCATGTAGCAAACGCTTGTTCCCTTGCTGGACTGTGACCTTTCCCGCCAACGCGGTTCATAGAAGCAATGTGAGCTGTGGGAAGGCCAGGCTTCTTAAAGACTCTTAAGCCCACTCAACTAACTACTGAATGAGTTCAAAGAGATATTTGTTCCGCATCAACTGTCCACAAAGTCGATGAATGTGCTCTGTAGTTAAGTACTTCTCTGTAATAAAATCAAGCAGACAACCGTAAGTCAGATTACAACCTAGGGACGGTGACACTTTGTATTTGTTGGTAGCACTAGCTAAAGTTACAGGAATGGACTGTGTTTGTTGTTTCCAAATGCTCTCTCAGACTTGTCTGAACACAGGGAAGACACTCCTCTTTGTCTCGGTGGAAGACCTTTGAGTAAGCTACTCAAAGAACTGCTGGACTAGAACTCCCGACTAGAAACGTGAAGGGCATTTTCTAAGCAACTTTCAGAGAGGAAATAGGTCTGTACTAGGGCATTTTCTGCCCGAGTAAGGAGCACACAGCATCCCCCAAGGCTGTGAACGAGCCCTTAAGTTCAGGACTGGCAATGCCACTGAGAAGTATCACACCAGGCAGGGCCTGGTGGCGGTGGGAGGGGAGGGGAGGGGTGGAGGAAGTTGATCAGAAAGAAGTTGGACTGGCTCAAGTCCTGTCCAATCTATTGTAATTTCACACATAGCCATGATTGTAAGCCCATGGGTGGGAATAGGGACTTGCCATCTTTTTTTTTTTAAGATCTTTAATTTTATTTATTATGTATACACTGTTCTGCCTGCATGTCAGAAGAGGGCACTAGCTCTCATTACAGATGGTTGTGAGCCACCATGTGGCTGCTGGGAATTTAACTCAGGACCTCTGGGAAATCAGCCAGTGCTCCTAACCTCTGAGCCATCTCTCCAGCCCTGGACTTGCCATCTTAAGTCTTCTTTGACCCATGGTATACCTAGAAAAGTTAGGCTTAATTATTAAACATTTAGGGATTTTTATTATGTAAATGCATTTATAAGTTCATAAATATATTTATTATATAAGTAAAGCATAATTCTACTGTGCCCTAGCAGCATATAATTTTAATCTTTATATGATTTTAATCTTTAAACCTCTTAAAGGCACTTGATGGCTAGCACTGTGTTCAAGCAGATGTTCTGTGAGCATTGAACTGCATCTGTTATGTAGTCAAACTCATACTCTTCGTTCGCTGATGTAATGTTTTGATGAAGTCAATTAGGTCATGTCCATTGCCAATTGTTTCTCTCTGTGTGTCAGATACTGAGAATAGTGTATTACAGACTTGAGCTGTCCCTACCCATTCAGCATTGCCCTAAGCATCTCAACAATGTTACCTAGTAAACCAAATAGTGTAAGGAGGGGGAGGTGCTAGTCACAGAAAATATGTATGCTAAAAGCTTAATCTTAGAATCAAGTTTGAAATGAATCACATACTAAAGTATAATGATTGTAAAGTTTCTAGAAGAAAGCAGGGTAAAATACCTTACTGGTCTCCAGATAGGACACAAAATACACTAAACACTCAAAAAGCGCTAAATGGCCTTAACCAAGACTTAAAATTCCCACTCATCTCAGGGCATGGATAAAATGAAAAGACAAGCCTCAGCTTCGGGTAGATATTGTTAGTACAATATTGGGGTTTCTGTGTGAAATGTGCCTCCACAGATTCATATATTTCAGCACTTGGTCCCCAGCTAGGGGCACTGTTTGGGGAGATTGTGAATCTTTAGGGTGTGAGGACTATCTGGAGGAAGAGAGTTACTGGGAGGGTGGGCCTTGGGGTATATACCCCAGTCCTCCTTCCTGCCAGCTCCATTTCTTGCTTGATATCATACAATAAGCAGCTACCACATGTTCCTACCACCAAGGAATCAACCATCACATCTGCCATGACAGACTGTGCGTCTTCAAACCATGAGCCAAAACAAACCGTACTCCTTTAAGTGCCATCTTGTTGGGCTAATATTTGGTAACAGTGATAAGAAAAGTAACTGATATATACACCATATTTTACCCCCCCACACACACACCTCCATCCATTTCATGTTGCTAAGACAATGTCTGAGAATGGGTAATTTATAATGACAAGGAACCAGTTTCTTACAGTTTGTACCTTACTTACAGACAAAGGGCTCTCATGTTCTAGTGTGTTGTTTGTTTTCTATTTCTGTGATAAAGATGGTGTCCAAAAGCAACCTGGAGAAGAAAGGGTTTATTTTAGCTTACAACTACCAGGTCACAACCCATCACTGAGGGAAGTGAGAGCAGGAATCTGGAGGCAGTACCTGAAGCAGACACCATGGAGTGATACTGTTTCCTGGCTTCTTTCCCATGGCTTGCTCACCCTCCCTCCCTCCCTCCCTCTTTCCCTCCGTTCCTTCCTTGCTTTCGTTTCTTTCATTCATTCTTTTTTTTTCTAGGCAGGGGTTTCTCTGTGTGTAGCCCTGGCTGCCCTGGAACTCACTCTGTAGACCAGGCTGGTCTTGAACTCAGAGATCTGCCTGCCTCTGTCTCCCAAGTGCCCAGCTTGCTCACCCTTTCTTAAACCACATAGGACCACCTGCCCAGAGGTGATACTGCCCACAGTAGTTTAGGCCCTCCCACTCCAAACACTGATCAAGAAAATGCCCAATAGGCCAGTCTGATGGGGGTGTTTTCTCAACTGAGGTTCCCCTTTCCCAGATGACTCTATCTAGTTGACAAAAAATTAACAAGCACACAGAGAATGGACCTTCTTGGTCCATCACTCAGGGGTAAAAGAGAGAAAGGTATGGAAGGGAGAAAGAGGTAGCATGCATGTGCAAAGGGACTGAGTTTGTTCTTCATGAAGGGCCCGTTCATGATAAGCCTGTGGTGAGATTCCATTCATGAAGGTGGTGCCTCATGTTTCCAATACCTTAGCTGGGACTGATTCCCAACACTGCTGCATTAGGGATTAAGTTTTCAACACAAAAGCTGTGGGGGAAGCATTCACACTATAGCACCTTAAAAAAAAAAAAAAAGACATAAGTACCTCACAAAAGATTTACTGATGGCCAATAACAGGAAATGGTGTCCTGTGTCATCTTATTCAAGAAAATTCAAATTAAAACTGTTAGGAGCTGCCAATATATCAGTTGGAAGATAAGAGTGGACGGAAGCAGCAAACACTGGTAAGGTCTTGAAGACCTTGGACTCTGCATGCTATGATGGTGATGGGCACTGGTGCAGCCTTGCAGCTCACTGTGTGGTGATTCCTCCATGATCCCAAGACCCAGCTTGACATGGTGGTATATACCTGTAATCTCAGCATTCAGAAGCTGAAACAAGAGGATTCCCAGACAAGCCTGGGCTACATCGCCAGACATTATCTTGAAAAAATAAATAAGGAAAACATAAGCTACCAAGGGGGCTTTTGACAAGAATTGGTCATTTGAAACAATTCATACTATACAAAGGAATTCAGTAGTTTGAAACTGACCATCCCCTTCTTCTGTTGCCAGGGGAAGGCAAGCAAGCGGTGTGATTTACCCATAAAATAGAAGGAAGGAGCCCAGAGATGCTGCATGAGACAGTCAGCCCACAGGGTATATTCCTTAAGCTAAACTCAGAATGTAACTAAAGCCATCAATGGTGATGGGAGTCAGAACAGGGGGCTCTGAGAATTGCCTGGGAAGAACTGAGAAGAGTTCGGGGAGGTGGTGAAGGAGATTTGAGATGCAGACACATAGAGGTGTCTAGTTTGTAAACTATTAACAGGGTACACATATGTTCTAAATGGATCCCCCAAAGTTCATATGTTACTGGGTAGGCGTCTGGAGGGCAAGGTAGGCTTTGGAATCGGATGCCAGAAAGCCACTGTCTTTGCTACCCTTTACTATCTCTTGTACAAAGCAGGGTTACTACAGCCCAGGTGTAGACTAGAATCCAGACAAGATGTGACTGGGTGGGCCTCTGCCCATAGCAAGCATGCTGGATTTAGGGCCACTAGGTGAAGGCATTGGGGAACAGTCAGCAAATACCTCTTACCTACGAGTCCCAGTAAAGGCTGAAATAGACACATATGCCTCCAGAATTGCCTAGATCGTGCCCTGGTTTGTATAGGGTGCACAGGCTTCTGACACACCCAAAGGGTGTGCTTACTTAGTGTCATTCTGAATTACCCTTGGAGGTCCCCATATGAGTGTAAGCATGGATTCATCAGGGAATTTCCACACTGAGCCTCCAGTGGCTCCTAAGGCCTTGCAGTCTAGGCCTCTGCATGCCCCAGAGTTCAGAGGGTGGGGCATGCTGGATGGATGCTGAAGAAGTCCTGTTCTCACTATTGCACTCCCAGTCCTTGCTTCTGCCCTGAGGTCCTATCTGGCCTCCCAGCCTCCACAAGTGAAATAACACTTTTCTGGCAGTCCCGAAGATACACAGCTTCTAGATTGAAAGCCTGTGCCTAGTTACAGGCACCCAGCCTGGGTCCTTCCTGTGGGCATCTCAACTCCTGTCTACATAGCCATGGGACCGTGATGGATCATCCTGGCAGGACCTCACATAGAGATGACAGCGCACTACCTGAGAGCAGACAGTAAAAGATTGTTGCTGGTGGTTCTCTTGTCCCTCCAAGTCCTGCTGCCGCTTCAGCCCCAAATAAACACACAGGTGATACATTTGTTATTAAACTATTTGACTGATG